TCCTAGAAATCTGAGACGGCAAGCGAAAGAGAGGGTGAGAGAGAGGGTAAGAGAGAGTAGGATACTGAAGAGGCGCCGAGATGTATGGGGCTGTGGCCGTGAGGAGGGTTCTCGATCTTTTAGGGTTTTCAATTAGGGCTTTCAGGGACCCGAAGACCGCCATTACAGAAACATTTTTTGAAGAAAAGAACAGCCAAGACTTGGCAGTAAATTTGGGTTTTGCAGGGGCTCAGCGGTCTGTATGACACGTCACACGTGCATGGCTCTCTCTTGTCTTTACACTTGGAATTTCCCAAATTCTTTTATTTATTATTTCAATTTTTCATGGGCTAGGGCTACTTGTAACCATGGATCCATAGAACTCAAGTTCCATAAGAGTTTGGGTTGTAATATGAGCTACAAACCCATTGCCATCAATTATAATTTTCACATCGGAAACTGAATTGAATTTTTTTGGTGGTAAGCAAAATTAGAAAACAAAATTTAACATACAAAAGTTAAAAATTATGAGACGAGTGTGATGGCGTGGTATAATTAATCTTATTCGAATTTTCTTGAAAGAATAGAAGTTAACTTGGTTTAAGCTTAACAAAAGCGTGTCGTAGGGAGCGCGTTCTGTTGTAGCCGACAGCTCAACTCAGTGGTTTAATTTTGTCAAAAAAACCGAAGTAGAACTAATATTAACGTTGCTATATAAAACTTGTTGTAACATGCCAACGCATACGTAGTAACAACACGTTACTGGTCTTTTAACAATGTTGGTTTCAAGTCCAAGATTTTCTTGATATGTTTGTTGCCATTTCCAGGGACTATTTGACAGGGTTTGCAGAAAAAGCAATGTTTCTGCCGCCGGAGGCAGAGGCGCCAGGGAGGAGAGAAAGGATGGGCTGCTTCTCTTGTTGCAAGCGGGTGGATGAGCCTGAAGAATCTGTAAGGAATACCAGAACAGGGAGGACATATTCTAATTCTAGTGGCGGGAGGAGATTGACCGCCCTTATTGCAACTTTCTCTATCAAGTCAGGTAGGATGGTGGCAAGAAAAGCTATTCGTTCATTTTGACATTTTGACATTTTGTTTCAGTCTTGATTAATGAAATGCAGAGGTTTGGTGGGATTTGATCTGCTCAAGTCTGTGTTTATAAATATATTTTTGTTTAAAGTTCGGTTCGCTAATTATGAATTAAGGCTGGATCATATATTTGCTTTGAAACACATAAATACAAGTTGCAAAGAAATTTATATATAGGAAAAATGATCTGATATAGAGACCAGGCTTCCTTGGTGAACTTTTTGTGGACATCTCTTATGTGGCAGGCATTTGATGAATATGCAGGTAGCAGCCAATGTAGGAATTTGCACAAAGAGATACTCAAGACTGGACATGCAAAAAAAGCTGCTCAGCTCTTTACATATCAGGAATTAGCTGCTGCAACTGATAACTTCAATCCTGATTCTCTGGTGGGAGAAGGTGGATTTGGGAAGGTGTACAGAGGATACATAAACAGCATCAAACAAGTATATATATATATATATATCTCTCTCTCTCTCTCTCATGTGCCAATAATCGTAAGAAGGTCCTGCAATTTATATTTTTGATTTGTTCCTTTCAGGTTGTGGCCGTGAAGCAACTGGACAGGAAAGGATTGCAAGGGGGTAGAGAGTTCTGTTCTGAAGTTATCATGTTGAGTTTGGTTCAACACCCAAACCTCGTCAATCTGATTGGCTACTGTGCAGAAGGAGACCAGAAAATTCTAGTGTATGAATTCATGGCCAATGGTTCTTTGGAGAATCACTTTCTAGGTATGCAAAAAAACTAATTTGGACCCAAAAGTTTCATATAGTGATGGGCTACTTTTGTGCAACCAAACTGAATGTACATTTTCTTTTTGTTTAGATCTATCTCCAAATAGAGAGCCTCTTGATTGGTATACCAGGATGAAAATAGCTGAAGGAGCAGCTAGAGGACTTGAGTACCTGCATGAGACTGCCAATCCACCGGTGATTTATCGTGACTTCAAAGCATCTAATATACTGTTAGATGACAAATTCAGTCCTAAGCTCTCTGATTTTGGACTTGCTAAGTTAGGTCCAACCGGAGACAAGGACCATGTGTCTACAAGGGTGATGGGAACTTATGGCTATTGTGCACCAGAGTATGCTTCAACAGGACAGCTGACAACCATGTCTGATGTATACAGCTTCGGCGTTGTATTTCTGGAGTTAATCACGGGAAGGAGAGCTATTGATGATAGAAGGCCAGTTAGAGAACAGAACCTAGTCAGTTGGGTATGTTAACACTCATGAATTAGCAAAGCCAATGTTAAGAGGACAGAAGAATCATATATATAAGACTACATGTTCTTTGCAACATTAATTAATACTGATCCTCTTTGTTCATCATGCAGGCAAAGCCAATGTTAATGGACAGAATAAAATATGCATCAATGGCTGACCCGTTGCTTGGAGGGAAATTTCCGGTAAAGGGTCTGAATCAAGCTGTTGCAATTGCAGCAATGTGTCTCAATGAGGAAGCTGACTGCCGACCTTCGATGGGTGATGTTGTAACTGCCCTCGAGCATCTATCCTTGCCAATATATGATGAACTGGATGCCAAGGGTGCATCAGGAAACAATGGTGGGCATGTTGAATCAGTAAAAAGAAAAAGTTTTAAAGGAGATCGAGAGCTATAGCAATTTGCCTCAAGGTGCAAGCTGAAGAGAGTGCATTTCAGATTCAAGATGAATCTTATTTCCATTACTAACTATGGGGATCTTTTATTTGTATTTTCCTGTACCTATTATAATTAGCTTGTTCAATTGATAAAGCTGAATCTGTAGTTTGTATATATAATCCATTCCCTGTACCCAAAATGGTTGACAAAAGAAAAGAAAAAAAATCAAATTCTAAGAGAGATCGTGTATAAGTTTTGCACTAGTGGACTGAAATCAAAAGCCTTTTGTCCACTTTAAATTCTATTACTTCGTAAGTTCGCTGCTCTTCTAGAGTCTAGATCAATCCACAAACCACATAATCCAACTCCTATTTTATCAGACTAAGACCAACTCTTATAACAGAGTACTTAGGAAACAAGATGCAGTTTCTGGTTGCCTTGCCCGCTATATCCAGTGGCTCTCTCTGGCAGCATGTCCATCCCAATTCCCATGAAAAAGGAAAAAAGAAAAAGAAAAAAAGGGAAAATAAAAGTATTAAGAGAGAGATTATGGCAAGAGAGAGTCTTTGAGTTTCATTGAATGTTTGTTGTGAACTGGCAAAATGGTATATAAAGCTCAAAAAACATTGTCAGCACCTCTTTGAGAAGATGGTCTAACTTAAATGCTCAAGTTGTTCATGTCATCCTTGAGGATCCTGTAATTAAACCAAGGAATGCCATTTAGCCGATTGGTTTCTGCAACTTTTGTAGCAGAGCATATGCTTGATAAGAACCTTCTGCTGCTTCTCCTCTTCTTCCTTTTCCAGGTCATTATCAAGAACCAGAAGCTAGGCTTGCTAGAATGAGTGCAACTGCTGGAAGTCATGTCAACTATTTGTCCCTGAGGCTTCCTCGAGCTTGAGCTTCCACGCGGCCGGTCGAGCTCAAGCTTGCTGAAATACTCGATCTCCTTCCTGACAAGCGAACCTACAGTGCCTCGCGTGCCTATTGCAATTGGAGCTGGTGCAGCCATTGTATTTGTTTCAGGGAACTTGGTTTCTGTTGTGCTGCTGGCTTTATACTGCATATTTTTTTAATGGTGTAAAGTGATGCAAGAAGCTTCAGGGTGAAGAAAGTGGTGGTCTTTTTCGTTTCATGAGACTTGAGGGAAAGTTTGCTTCAAATTTGGATCATCTTTTCTTTGATTTTTATAAAACTCTTTTAATGCAGTGCTTTTGGTAAAGTGGACAGCATGAGAATTTCCATAATTGGTGTTTCGGTTAGGACATGGGTCATCATATTATCCCGGTGGTTGCAATAAAAGCATGCATAATCTCCGGATTAATTTTTTACCCTTTCGATTCACTTGAAACTGTAGGGTTCAGTTCACTATCATGGTATGGTAGTAGGGTCAAAACAAGTATCTGACAAGTTAAAAGAATGCTTTTGTGTGTCATTTCTTAAAAGATTCTAGAGAGAATAAAAGGAAGAGAGATGAAGTTTTGACTTTCTTGTTTGTTGCTTGAGTGGTATTTAAGTCTCAGGTGGGTATATATCTTTATTTGCTTTCATTTGCTTTTTTCTATTGTTAATTATTCTGCTGCTGGCTGCTGGCTGCTGGCTGCTGGCTGCATGAGAGAAGTTGAATGATGCATGCAAGTTGGAACTGGTAAATGCAGATAACTTTTTTTTATATAAAATATGCGTGGCTACAAGCAATTGATTAAACTCACAAAGGGCAGTGAAGTGACAAAAATCATTTGTTGCAGTTGGTAAGTTGGTAATGGAATAGGATAGGAGGGCCCTGTGAAATTCTTAAAAATTGAATGGTCATTGGTCCAATTGTGTTCTTATTCTGAAGCCAAAGTTGATCCATTGAATTGAATTTTGAAGTGTATTGTTAAAGGTTGAACGAACGCCATACCCATCAATAGAACAGAATGAGAGCTTTCATATTAAATGGTGCTCAAATGACACTTGACTTGGCCAACATTATCAAATTTGTTTGTTTCTTTTTGCTTTCATTGGGTTTTTGTTTTTCTTTTCCAGGCACCCTCCTCCCTCCTCAACTAACAACACCAAGGTTGAGTTGATAAAACAATAAATGGACGTTTCAACAAAACCAAACTTTTATGCCAATGTCTTAAACATCTACCCTACCCTAACAATTAATCAGCAAAATGCTTTACCACTTAGGAAGCAGTAAGTAAATATGGTCAACTACGTGCATCGGCACGGCACATACTAAGGAAACACAAAAGTTGTTAGACTAGAAATGAAAGTTTGGCAAAAACAATTATCAGAAAGGGAAATGAGAACATTTGAGACCACATATACGTATGTATGAATAGATTATAGATGCAGAACACCACACACGTTAAACAAACAACATTTCATTTTTCTTCTCTGTTTGTAAGCCTCAAAATTGGAAGTTCCCTCTTATTTCTTAACATTCACCAGCTCCTCTATGTTCTTATTCTCTCTTTTCTATTTTTCCTATGCCTTTCGTTTTCATTTTTCATTTTCCTGTATGAGATATAGTTAGCAATCTAGTTTATACCCGGAAGATGGCAGGAATACCTCAACTTCCGATGTGAGGCAAGTGCATGTCGTAGAGAAACATCCACACTCGCACCCTCTCGAAACAGTGAATCATACAATTGACAAACAAATTGTGACACTTCTTCCTCATCATCATCCCAAAAACCCGTAGAGGGGTCCCCGTTTTCACTATCTTCCCAATCACTCACCGGACTACTAGGCTCAGCCTCCTCATCTTCAATGTCATCTTCAGCCTCTTCCTCACCAATCTCAAACTTTCCATTTTCAAACGCACTGAACTCTGCAGATCCATGGAGTGTTGTCAGCTGTGATTCTGGGGGCTGACCTGAAGAGCATATAACAGCTTTGGCACCACAGTCTAAAAAAGACTTAACCAAGGTTGGCGTAGGCCCATATGTCCCTGTGCAAATAATGATCCTGTCTCTCCAAGCTCCAACCTATAGTTATTTAAAGGCATAAAACATCAATTCTATTAGTCAGGTCATGCAATGCATATTTTACATAACAAAGAGAAAATGCTTCACATAAATAGACATGGAAGTGTACCATCCAACGAACATCATCAGGTGATAAATGGATAGAAGGTACAGTTCTACGAAACAAATATGCTCCAATTTCTTGGCCATCTTCCATAACCTTAAAGAATGCCATCATACAACAGAACCAGAGTTAATAGTTATAAGTAACTTCCAATAAGTAGCAAAAACTATGGTTTTAATGCTAAAGGGAGCATACTTGGGTTTGGCGTCCCATATAACGGTGAACAATGCCTCCAATTTGGAAGTATGGTCTACAAGCAACCAAATCAGAAACAGTTGAAATATTGGAGAGAGATGATGCAGCCTTCCTGCAGCGGTTTCGCATCACCGATATCAAACTCAATTTAACACTCTGCAGAAACTTATCTGCAAGCTCTCCAGGTTCAGCAACCACAAATACATCATTCTGCCAACTACAAAAATAAATAGCCGTTAAATGCTAACATCAACTGAAATAACATCAACTTGTAATTATAACAAATCAACCAGCAGCATGTTGACCTTAATATCGAGCCAAGTGAGTCATTCTGAAGGGCCAAATGTACAATGCCCACTTGGGGCGAATTCTGCAACTTCTCATGCAATGACTGGACGGGTAAAGAAAGCTGTCTAGGTCCTGCAGGAGACTTGGGTGGTGACGCTGCTCCCTTTCCAGATTGACCATCTAAGCTTAAAGGTGGGACCATATCAATTCGGCCAGCCCTCTGTGGGCCAAAATCAGGACTGTAGAAAAGTGGACTTGATGGGATGCTTGCAGGAAACAAAGGTGAAGCAAATGGTGTTGGGAACGTTGTTGCCGGCACCGTTTTCACAAATCCTGATATCCCTTGCATTAGGGATAATCGTATTCCATTACGGGCACAAAATGACTCAAGTGCATGAGCATGGTTAAAAGCTCGACCAGAATTGGGGCTATGTGAAGCTTCAACAAGTAGTACATTACGCCTCCAACCTAGAGATGGGCCTTTTTCATCTACTAGATCAAAGTACAAATTGAACTTAGGTTCTTGTAAAATGTGTAAAAAACCTAAAATGCATAGAGATAAATTGAAGAAAAATGTCAGTATCAATACCCTCATTTGATGCCTTTGACTTGGGGAAATGTTGAGATCTCAAATTCTCGGACCACTTCTCATCATGTTGGAATGGCATAAGTAGTCTCTCACAGGCATCCTTAAATGCATGAGAGTTTTTCTGAATATATTCCTCAACTGCAGCTTCCAATTTCAGCCAGATCGCTGGATCAGTCTCATCCAATTCCATATCACACCGTTCATCAACTGTAGGGGAAAACATAGAAGTGCTGATTCAGAATTAGTTCTTTCACTAAAAATCCACCTTAGAGAAAAAGTAAACAGATGGAAACAAAAGTAGTTAAGGTTGCTTTTCTGCGCGAGGGTCAAGATTTCTGACATTTCATGCTCATCTAGACATATTACTTCAGAATCAACACATACCTGGATTAAACCGAAAATATTGCATTCCAGGGAGCATGGGTAGCAATGTACTTAAAGCCTCCTCCACCCGTTCCACAGAGCATGCACTTTCTATCAATACTTGCCCAGTATCCAGATAACGCCAACCACCTTTTCGCACCTACACTAGCAGATTTTGTATGAATCTATAAAGCAGAGTAATCACTCTTAAATGCCGTCCAATCTATTCTGGAACGTTTTAAAACTACAATGTTATTAACTTGTTTTTCAGTTAGCCCATCAAAATTAGTAGCTCTGCATTTCCTGGGATTCCTAGACAATAAGACCAGAATTTCACAACTGACTCTTCAACAACAAAGGTTACGGTTTACCTTTGTTGGAACAGAACCACAGCCAATGGAAACCAGGCAGTCAATTCTTGTGTCAGGCCATAAAAGTTGTGCTTCTCTAATGGAAAAAATTGTAGGATTGTTTGCCACTATTGCACCATCTTGCCACCGGTTTACATCTATAGAAATGGTAGGATATAAACATTAGAGGATATTAAAACCAAGAAACAGGTAATATCCACATGCTCACCTTAATCACTATGATCCTAATGACAAGAATATTTCCACAAGTGCATGAGAGATTACCATCGGAGAAATCATCAAGATAATATGGAGCTGCAGACGATGCTCTTATAGCTTGCCATACTTGATGTTTACAACTGCCAATAAAAGCACTGCGCCTATAGCCAAGTTCAGCACCCACAGTAGGTGATCCTTGCACAGTGATTCCTGAACTCTCTGAAACTGCAAGAGGCACTTCTAGTGTTCCCGCCGGGTACTACAAATTGAGTACAACATACCAGGTAAAAATTTCAACGGTGAAGTGATGATGTTTGCACAAAGGAACTACTAGTCTCAAACCTGATAGTTCCGGAATAAGAAAGGCTGAGCTGGCATCACGCTCACCAAAGTTGATACGACAAAGACTTTGGGAATATTTTTTACTGCGGACTCTATTAATAGATCTCCATCCTCATCTGCACACATTTCCTTCAACAACCTCTCAAAGTGATCTGCACTATGCTGCAAGACAATATGTTAAAGATATCCTTTCAGAACTCAAAGGACGTGGTCAACAGCAACATATAAAGAAATTATTACTTTAATGTGTAGGCTTGTATCAACTATATGCTTTGCTTCACTAAGATTCCACTCTTTTTACAATATATGAGGTGAACAACAGACGAGACAGACAATAATGACTGTAGTAAAATGAAAAAAGAAGAGTCATAAAATTAGAAACTTTCTCAATCAGATACATGCAGGAAAGAGACGAGGGGGTAGGGAAGAAACCTATACACACTTGCCTACAACAAAAAATGCAATATAAGGAAAAATAAAGGCATGGCATATAATGGAGTTTAATAAATAAAGACAAAGATAAAGCATTAGAAACATACTTTAGATCCATGTACAACAACTCTAAAACTCTGCGAAGAACTTTTA